CAGTACAGATACATGCAGGATCAGGTTAACTAAACACACTCAGTTGACCCCAGTGTGAATGATTGTTCCCCTGAGTCCGACTCGCGACTGCCCGGCGAGTATATAACCCGATAACAGATGGGATTGGCACCTGCCTCAGTCCAAAACCTTGAAAGGGATGGTGCGATATAGGATGAATAATGGATTAAATACATGCAGTACCGTACAGTACATGAGTGCAATTATTTATTGAGCCCTGGCGCAGGACCGTGCCAGTATGTATAAATATGACAAATGGTTTCAGTCCCTCCTCTCCAAATAGTCTTCAGTCAGCACTAGAGCTATCCAGGTAATAGTGTTCTCAGCTTTTGTTTGGCACAAGAGTAAAACATATGTGAGTAGCAACAACAGAAGTCAGATTCAGAAAAATGGCTGTAAACACTGAGAGACGTATGAACTAAGTGGTACGAAGTGGTGAACTTTTCAAGATTCAGAGCCTTATTCATCGTAATTCGCTGAGAATACGCCTAGAAACCCTGCCCCCTACTTCTGTCGTAACACAAACATCGTGATTTATTTTTTTCTGTCTTTGGTCTATGTGAAGGTGACAAAACAATCACCTTCTGTTCTCTGTGTGTCTTTCTTCAATTCCTGCATGTGAATCAGGGATATGTTCAACTAAACAGGCCCCAGTGTCCCACTGAGTAAGTTCAGGAAGAATGTTATTTTTTTTATTATATATACTCTTTGTGACATTTTTATTCTGTTGGTGAACCATTGGATTTTTATGATGTAAAATATGTGCCGTGTCTTAAAAAAGGGGTTTGGAAACACTGCCCTAAGATGCCACTAAGCTGTGTTGTCTGGAAGCCAAGTATTTCACACTGATGCTATGACATTTCTGTCTGGCTGTCTTTTCTTGTTCTATTTAATTCAACTCATTATTTAAGGACTTCGGGGACATGATAGAAATGTCACAAAAGAAATGAACCTTCCTTTTTGGTCCAGACTAGGAATTCCGATTCTTAAGCACAGGAGAACAGTAGTCCTGCTGTGGAACAGAAAAGAACCAGGCAAATCCCTTATTATAATCCCTGTGTATGGCTAATAAGTAAAATTATTCCTACAACAAAATCCTCCCACTGTCTCTCTGCTCGGTGAAATAAAGTCCGTGGAGCGAAGGGCTGGAAAATAAGTTTCAAGCCTCCATTATCACACACAAACACACAGAACATCGCCCAGAAGAAGATCATATCCCCTCAGTTTCTGAGCACGCAAAATCCCGGATAAGAGGTGGAACCTCTGCTGACGGTTTGAGAAGAATATTAGATAAAAGACAGAAATTTGCTGGGAGAAAAGGATACAATTGTGGGGAAAAGTGTGTGTGTATGTGTGTGTGCGCCAGTCAGTGTGCTGTAAACCCCAGGTGGTGCTTGTTGTCCTGGATAGTCATATCACCAGGGGGGAATGAGTGCTCCAGCTTAGCAGGTCTCTCCTCACTTTGTGTTCCCTGTTATATTCACAAACACACCTACAGAGGAACCCGGGAAGGAAGAAGGGAAACAAACGGGGAGGAGAAGTGGAGGAAAGGGAGACTGAAGGGAACTTGTGATAGTGATAAGGAAGAAGGAAAATGCCAAGGTTTTAGGAAAGGAAAGACAGCCAGGAGAGAGTTCATGTAAATACACAGAGGCAGTGGAATACTTATGAATATTAGGTACTAGGTATTTTCAGTAGGTGAGCACTAGGATTTGCTTCTTGTCATTCAGGTGTAGAGTATTTTCAACATGAGCGGCTGCGTATGATCTATGTTTCATGCGGTGCCAAATTTTGCACAAGCAACAATTCCCAGCCAGCGCATTCACCGAAAGGTACATTCTAGAAACATCTGCATACATGTAAACCTTGCCTCTAACACAAACACACCACCCCGAGGGGCTGTTGCTGATTACAGCCTGTTTTCTTTTTTTTTTTTTTACTCCTGATGCCTCTGTGGGGATGGTGCCTTTAAGTGCTGAGGCAGCAGCACAAGTTTTATGTTCAGCGTCCAACTGCTGACTTGGGAGACACTCCACTGTTCCAAAAATCTTGACCTCTACTACTGCTGTGGAAATAGCAAATACCTCTGACCCCAGAACGGCACTCAAAGACTTAATTCTACCCCTCTAAGGTGTAGGTTTGGGAAACAGAGAAATCGGGTTTAGATCTGGGGCAACACTGCCCTCTAATGGCTCATTCGGGGACCATTTAAGATGACGTAAGGCCATGTTGGCTGAGTATGTGTGTGTATGTAATAACAGACAGGGCTAACATGGAGTTTATGTGCCTTTACATTATTGTGACAGCGCCTCCTGGAGGACATGCACAGGGAGGGAAGTGAAAACCAGGATTCAAGGTCCCTGAATTATCAAAGTAGAAATGCAGGAACAGCTAATGACCTGAGAGGAAGTGCTTCTATAGGGACTACAGCCGCTAACAACTGAGTCACTATATTATTCCCAACTATTGGCAGGAGAAAAGAGACTTTTATTGGGAGGTAAAAAAAAGTTAAATGTGCTTCTTTAATGAGAGCCACTAATTTGGAGGAAGCTGTCAGCGCAAAGAAGGGCTCCTGTAAAGATTCTTTTATGTAGATACTTTAATAACGTGTGTGGCCGTAGAAGTAAAGTTTAAACGGCCGTTCGTCCACTCTGGGGTCGTATCTGATCCGCAAAGCAAGCAGTCGTCACATTTAACAACCCCATTCAGAGTTTGTAATGTATTAGTAATAGCATCTGGTTGAGGGGGAAGATGCTGCTACGCGGTGCCTGAAGGCAGCTCTGCTCCAGGCAGAGGCTGCTCGCTAACAACCCACAGGAGGCCGAGAAAAAGAACCTGTTACAGCATCCATCTATCACTCACTGATCAGGAAACATCATCGGGGTGTAATTTCAAAGTGCTTGATAATGCCTGGAATCCTCAATCAGCCTAGTTAAGAGGCAGACGTATGAATGTAATTTAAAAAAAAAAAATGTTTTTCAGTTCAGATGTTTTTTCTAAATGTAAATTTGATCTGTATGACATGGTACAGAATTGGCTGTGTGTGGACCCAGACTAGAAGAATATCCATGTCATGCAGGAACTGTAATCCAGAAGTATTTACAGGTGTGTACTACCTCTGACACCAAGCCGTTATTTGTCATTTCTATTGGCGTTGGTTATGAATGAGGATTTCCAATACACTAAAACCACCAACAAAGTCATAACAGAAATCGTGTCTGTCATTCAGCAGATTAACTACATGAAGGCTGGGGTACACCGTAAATAAAAGTGACCGTTCCATTATTCACAGCGCTCCTCTTTTTCGACACCTATCCAATCCCTCCCGACTCTCGTTTTATTTAAAGTGCTTGGCAGTTGAGGGGGATTTGTAGAAGTTAACAAATTACATATTTGCCCTTTGAGAACCCATCTGCTTTGTGTATAAATAACATTTTCATATCCATTCTTGCTGGTTGGCATTTCAGGATCAGGGAACCATAGCAATCAGGGAGCGGATTCACGGCGAGATTGAATGGCCTTTAAGCAAGTGGAGGAATAAGAGGAGAGGGAAGAGGAGAAATATGGAAATAACTTTGTTATCATCAGACTCCACTCAGGATCTCAACAATGCCGGTTGCAAAGGAATGTCCGTGAAGCTCGACAGAATAAGATGAGGGTGAGACCCTGCTTTGAACCCTGGACTGCGCTTGACGGTGTTTATATTGGGAGTGATTTCCGGCTAGGATTAAGAAGGAGACATTTCAAAGAATTCCTGTGTAAACCTCTGTCCATCTGCACTTCCTCTTATAACCTGACATTCTTTGGGTTTACATGTTTGCATACTTATTAAAAGTGGCTATTTAACAGTGTTTTGGTAGTTTTCATACTCAATGAAATTTATATATTAGAGCGGACAATCGACTTTTAATCAGATTAATCACAGGGTGGGTGTGGATTAATCCTGATTAATCAACATTCCTAAAAAAAAAATCTTTCTGTGAAAAATGATGAAACTATATGCACAAGTACAACTCAAATCCTACTAAAAAAATCAGTATTTTTTCATCCATCCATCCATTTTCATCCGTTTATCCGTTACCAGGTCGCGGGGACAGCAGTCTCCATGACCTCCACCCAAATCACACTGCACCGTACCAACCCCCCTGAACCTTCCTGCAGGTGATGAGTCCACTGGAAGGTACCAACCTCCCACTCTGGGATTCAAACATGCCCAGGCGTTGAACCCTGGGGTTCCACACCAATGACAGAGACGTTGCCTCTGGGCCAAAGTGCCACAAATTCAGTTTTTGTTTTTTTGTAAAATCAATGGACCTTAGTCTTAAGGTTGGTTTACAGAACGTGTCTAGAGTTGCTTTCAAAACTTCAGTGAAGCCGTTGTTCCCAACAGTATCAATCACTCTGAAGTCCCTTGCAATTTATTTGACACCCGTTTCAGTCAGCTTGTCGATCACACTCTGACTAACGGCCGTGTATTCGGTGAGGCTGGTCTGACTCGTCCTATCGTATTATGATATCATGCATTAGAGCAGAGACACATGAATGAGGGGGTGGAAGTATTGGATACACAGAGCGCTTCATTCTGCCCATGAGCTAAAATACGTTTAAAAAAAAGCCAGATTCATCTTTCAAATCAATGAACACGATCAATTGGACAACAGAAATCCAGCTGAAACATAGCGTTACACTGGTGAGACCCATCTACAGCTGGGAGTCACTGTCGTCTGTGTCCTATATGTGGAACAGCTACAGGTCACATATTTCTGAGAATTACATCAGATCTTTTCGTCAGGTTTGCTCGCAGCTGTGGCCATTTCAAATATAACCACGTCTTTGCGTCGGGTGATTTTTCTTTCCCTCGACAACGCAGTTCATGATTATTT